TGGGCTGGGGCTGTGCTTGGGGCTGGGGCTGGAACTGGGACTGGATTTGTGGTTCTGTTGTTGCTGCTGCTGTGGTTGGTTGCCTTGTTACACACACACACACACACACACATATATATACACATACATACTGTTAAAGAACTCTTACTCCTTTTCCCATTGCTTTGCCTTTACCTGAAAGCCCCTTGATTCCAATATAATAATATTGGAATAATAATGCAAATTATAGTAATTTGGCCATTCCAAGGGAAGTTCCCAACTTCCTTGGCAGACACAGGTTTTTCAAACCAGGACAGTTGTCCAGGTCTGTGTCTCTGTAACCTTTATTTTTTGCTTCTCTCTTTTCCTTGTCAGCCCTTTTGGCCAGGTCGCTGATCAGGTCCCTTTGCCCCAGCAGGTGCCCCATGCCTGGCTGGGATCGTGCTGTACCTCACTGGGTTGAGCTCCCCTGGCACTGCCTTTGCCTCTCTCAGGGCAGCAGATTTCCCCATCCTTGATGTCCTTGCCTTTCAGCTGGACATTGCTTTCAAGCAATTTTTAAGCTACTGCTGGGCTTTGCTGCCGCCCTGGCACTGCCTCTGGGTGTGAATCGTGGCTCTATCACCTCCCTCCTTGCCACTGCCTCTGCGCCCATGCCAGGGATGTGCAAACTGCTGCCAGAACTGTGGGAGGAGGCTGCCACATGCAGCCCTGGAGAGTCCCTGCAGCAGGGCTGGGTCTGCCAGAAGGGCATGTCCAGAGCAAAAGCATTACCAAAATCCTCCACATCACTCAGCAACTTTAACTTTGGAGTGGAGGTAGTGCAGGAGGAAATGGGCAGCAAGCTGGGACAGGGTGACATTTTTGTTTCCTTTTCAGGCAAGGAAAGTCTTAGCTGGGACTTAGGGACCTCTCCGAGGTTCTGAGTGATGGCCAAGCAGCTCCTCCTCCAGCACAGAGTGCAGGAGAGAGTCAGAGGCTCCAGCTAGGTGGCATTTTTGGGAATCTGCGGATGGAAAGGACCCTCTGACATCTGTGAACTGCCCGTGGTTTTCACCTCTTGTTAGCAAAGTGGAACCAAGTGAGTCAACAAAAAGGGGGGTGGTGTTGTGTTGTGTCTGTAGAAGTTGGACTGTTCTGTTCCCCCCTATCATGTAATGGTTCTGCCCTGGTTCTCCCTTCCCTCCCTTGTGCTGCCACTTATCCCAGCTCCTCCCCAGTTGCCTTGGAGATTAATTAATTAATTAACTCCTCCCCGGTGCCCTGTCCATCACTTGGCGCTCCCACCCTTCTCTCTGGAACTCTCTAGAAACTTCTAACTAGAGCATCGAGTGATTGGCTCAGGGGCTGAGGCTCCATCCTCAATTATCCCCATTGGTGTTCTCCCTAAGTCAATCATTTGTGTCCCACTCCCCTCTGAAGCCCTATTCGTCCAAGGGCTGACTCCTCCCCTGTGTCCCTCCCTCCTTATAACCTGTTGTAACTTCCCCCTCTTGCTTTTTGGCTGTTGGTTTCCGCTGGGATCAATAAACCTGGATTTACCACAGCTGGAGAGCGCTCTCTTATTTCTGCTGACTGCAGCCATAAGCCAAACCACATCCTACCACAAGGTACTGCTGCTGTCATAGCACAGAGCGTTTACCTTAGGTGCTGTCCTGAGCCACGGAGATGGGGACAGTGCTGCCCTGCTGCTAGCGGTGCTGGATAGCTGGCCGGGCCGTCCAAGAAGGACAATCCTTCCCCAGCCTGACTGCTTCAGCGTGGGAGAGCAGAGCAGGGTCAGGTCCTGTCCTGGCTGCGCCTTGGGATTAGTGTTTTGGGTATTTTTTCACTGGTCCAAGGCCACTTCCTGCTCTCTTTGAGGTGCATGGAATGAGTCCTGATTTGGCCAGGACTTCTCGTTCTGCACCTGTTTGTCTCTTAATACTGAACCAAAAAAGGCAGAGCAGGCTGTCTTTTGCTTTCTGTCTTGGTTTAGAAAGACAGGAGTCTGCTAAGGAAGGCAGGAGCCTCCCCTGAAATGGAGAATGTAAACCCTTCCCACCGCTCCGAATTGCTATAAATTTTAAATTAAAGGGCTCTCAGGCAAAAATATGGAGCAGGAAATAACAGTTCTTTAATAGGGAAAAGAAAAAAAACTATTAAAGGATTAAATAAAACAATGCAGTACACTAGAACAACACTGATAGAGTCAGAACCCAACCTGACACCCTGTGGGGTGTTGATGGCAGTCCAATTGGAAATGTGTCTGCAGCCCTCCTGAAGTGTCAGGGGCGGTTCTGTTGGATCAAGGGGGATCTGTAGAGAAAGATGTATTCTTCCTCTGAAGATCCAGTGGAAGAGACAGCTGCTGTTACTTTGGGGAATCTTGTGGAGAAAGCTGTGCTGGTGTTCTAGATTATATCTGGGTAGGAATGCTTGGCTCCTCCCTCTGGGCGGAGCATCTCACAATGAGATGTTTCAGTTCTTATCAGTCATGCAGTGGAGGTGCAAATGTGGTCACTCAGAGAGAGATAAAGCAAACTGCCCACTTGACAAAGGTAATCAGCCATGCAGATGGTAATTAAAAACATCTTGCATGCAATCTTCAACATTTTCCCCTGGGAAATCCCCACAACCTTTTATACCAGTCTCCTACTTTGTGTATAAAACACTAACCAATGTCAGGCTGAAGATGGAAAATCAATTTCAGCCTTTGGTATCTGAGGTTTACAAAAAGGAGCTGGGTTCAGCAATGAATCCCTTTAAAAGGGAATTCTGCCATTCTTTTTTTTTGGTCTTCCCTTGGTTTTCCTCCCATTTGCCCTTTCCCTCTCCTTCCTCGTCTCCAGGTGGTGCTCCTATTCCCAGCTCCTCTACTCTCTGCTGGCTTTTGTCATTTACAATTTTCCAAGTTCATGAGCAGCACTAGGTAAGAATCCCCTGGATCCTGCTGATCTCTGTGGCACAGTTTCCAGCCTGAGTATCTTCCTGGCTGCCAGTACAGCAGCTCCCTGTGAACAGCAGAGCTCAGAGCAGGGTCAGGCCCTTTCCATAAACCTTCTCCACTTCTGGGAGCACCAGCATCCCTCTGGATCTTGGTGCATCCCTCCAGCCATGGCAGCACAGGCGTTGGAATAATCTCACTGAACCTGGGTGAGGATTAGATGATGCTGAAGAATTGATTACAATTTCCTGCCATGTCCCTCCCTGGTTTT